AGGGGGCGGGGTTTCCATTGCAAGATTGCAGATTGGTACTCGTCCCTCAGACATTTATTCCGAGTTGATTTTAAATGTCTTGTTGTTATGCCTGTGCAGGTGATGTTCATTAGGGCAGTTATGAAACGATGGTCTTCTCGACGATACGGCAGCAGAACAGAGTATGAATTGGTTGAACTGGGAGGCACTATTTCGAAATGGCCGTTTTTCTCTTTTTATTTCCAGTGTATTACAATAATCGGGATTTTTAGCGTTGTAACAATGCTGTGATGTTTGTCGTCGTTCGTATTGTTTATTAGTATTTTCATATTTCTGTTTATTATTGTTACATTATGATTGTTTCTGTTATCATCATGATTATTATTGTTGTTATTGTCACTGATATTTTTATTGTTCATACTCTTTATTGTTAATGTTAATACTGTAGTTTTTCATTGTTGTTATTGACATCATCATCATTATCACTATCAGTTTTACCTCTTATCATACCCATCATCATCGTCCAAATCTGCAGAAACGAGAAAATACAAACCAACCCAGTAAACCCACACCACGCTAGAGGAATCCGATCACCACATACGTTGTAATATCCACTCATCCCCCCCCCCCCCTCCTTTTTTTAAACAGGGGGGGGTGTACTATTCCCATTAACAACGTCGTTATAATTGCCTCCCGATCTACAATGCAGTAAATACGTCTATTAATTACGATATCAATGGCTTCGCTTCATATCAGTCGTGTGGGTTTGTTTGCCCATTTCGGAATAAATAGTTTTTAGTCTTTTTTGAATAGTGTGTTTGTACGGTGCTCGTGGATTTAATTGATTGGGTTTTAGGGTGATTTGTTACTAATTTTGCTATTTGATATTTTTAATTGATTCGATGGATGGAATTACATACGTCTAGAGTTCGTTGTGTTGACGTATTTAGATTTGTATTGTGATAGTATGTCAATTGGATGCGTTTTTTTTTCTTTCTTTTTCATCGTGAAATATCGTTCCTTCAGTATGTGAAGGGAAAAGGGAAGAGGGAGAGGGAGAGAGGGAGGGAGGGAGAGAGGGAGGGAGGGAGAGAGGGAGGGAGGGAGAGAGGGAGAGAGGGAGAGAGAGAGAGAGAGAGAGAGAGAGAGAGAGAGAGAGAGGGAGAGAGAGAGAGAGAGAGAGAGAGAGAGAGAGAGAGGAGAGAGAGAGAGAGAGAGAGAGAGAGAGAGGAGAGAGAGAGAGAGAGAGAGAGAGAGAGAGAGAGAGAGAGAGAAAGAGAAAGAGAAAGAGAAAGAGAAAGAGAAAGAGAAAGAGAAAGAGAAGAGAAAGAGAAAGAGAAAGAGAAAGAGAGAGAGAGAGAGAGAGAGAGAGAGAGAGAAGAGAGAAGAGAGAGAGAGAAAACAGGAAGATTAAGGGAGTCTCTATAAGCAAGAGGAGAAAACTAGGAAAACAAACAAGACGGATAATATGTAAAAATTGAGAGAGAAAAAAAGACATTAAGAAAGGAAGGAAGGAAGTGAAGACAGATACACAGACAGGCCGTGACAAAGAGAGAGACACAGAGGCGAAAACAAGAGACAGAGAACCCTAAATTATTCATTATCAGATAATAGGAATTTCCCACAACAGCCATCCCGCCGCCGCTACGCCTGTTCCTTTGTTTCGTTGTAACGAGGTTTTTATTCAGATGTGATGTTCCGTTTTCTGTTGTTTTTTCCCCGAAGACGTATTCACGTGTATTCCTGTGGTTTTGTGGTTTTTGTAGATTTCAGCATTTATTATTGTTTTTAGTGTTGTTTTTGTTATTGTTATCATCATCGTCATCATCATCGTCGTCGTCATCATCATCATCGTCATCGTCGTCATCATCATCGTCGTCGTCATCATCATCATCATCGTCGTCGTCATCATCATCACACCATCATCGTCATCAATCATCACATCACACCATCGTCGTCATCAACGTCATCATCTTTGTTATCATTACATCACATGGGCGTCTCTTTGACCCGTTTTTATGAGACTCCAGCTGGTATCAGTTGGTTGTCATCCCGGGAACTGCCTTTCGGGTCTCCTTTACAGTACACTTTGCGCCGCAGAAGGGGCGTGCTTCGGCAGACAAGGGTGGAATTCCAACACGCGGAGGAGCATGTTTAGGGCGGCAGAGAATGTCGGAATGAGGAGGGAGGGATGGAGGGATGGCTTCGGACAGGTGTTGCTGACAGGTGACAAACAGGTGAAGAACGCAGACATATACGCACGCGTAACCCACACGCGCGCGCATACATACGTGCGCACACGCACACAAACACGCACATGCACACGCACATACACACACGCATACACACACCTACATACACACTCACATACGCACATACACACGCACATACACACACGCATACACACACGCATACACGCACACATGCACACACACACACACACAGGCTACAGGGAGCGACATTTTTATGGAACTCATAACGGCTACTGCAAGTCCCTCTCCTCTCCCTCCGTTGCCCCCTCCTTACCTCCTCCCTTCCCCCTCTTTCGGGGGCTTCCTTTTCCCCTCCCTCTTCCTCTTCTTTTTCTTTTTCTTCTTTCTCTTCCTCCTCCTCCTACTCCTTCTTCTTCTTCTTCTTCTTCTTCTTCTTCTTCTTCTTCTTCTTCTTCTTCTTCTTCTTCTTCTTCTCCTTCTCTTCCTTCTCCTTCTCCTTCTCCTTCTCCTTCTCCTTCTCTTCTCCTTCTCTTCTCCTTCTCCTTCTCCTTCTCCTTCTCCTTCTCCTTCTCCTTCTCCTTCTCCTTCTCCTTTCCTTCTTCTTCTTCTCTTCTTCTCCTCCTCTCTCCTCTCTCCTCCTCCTCCTCCTCCTCCTCCTCCTCCTCCTCCCCCTCCTCCTCCCCCTCCTCCCCCCTCCTCCCCCCCCCCCCCCAAACGAGGTCCAGGGGTCCCTCCCGGTGCCACGGGCGCGCTGGGCGTCTCCGAGGGGCGCTCCCGGGGTCCTTTATGGGTGCCACCTCAAGTGCTCGCTGATGGATGTCGGGCTTTTTAAATTTGCTGATGAAGGTTTTAGTGCCTCTGCTGTCGCCAGCGCTCCCGCCCGAGCTATATGAAGGGGGCGGGGGTGGAGGGGTGACGACGGCGGGTGGGAGGGGAAGTGAGGGGAGAGTGGGTAAGTCGGAGGGGGAAGATGGGGATGAGATGGTAGGTGGAAGGGGAAATTAGGGAGAGTGGGTCGGTGGGAAAAGGGAGATAGAGGAGAGCGGGTAAGTGGGAGAGGGGAGATGGGGGAGAGCGTTAAGTGGAAGGGGAAATTAAGAGAGAATGGGTTGGTGGGAGAGGGAAGAGAGGGAGAGGTGGTAGGTGGGAGGGGAAAGAGGTGAGGGGGTAGTTGAGAGGGGAAATTAGGGAGATTGGGAAAGTAAAGGGAGGGAGAGGTGGAAGTGGAAAGAGAAAGAGGTATTTAAGTGAAAAGGGAAAAAGGTGGGAAGGGTGGGTGGAGGGGAGAGAGGGGAGTGGGTGAGTGGGAGGGGGAAGACCATGACGAGTTGTCTGTTTTCTTACTTGCCTCTTTTTTTTTGGCATTTTTCATTCTTGTCCCGTTTTTGTATTTTCGATCTTTTACGTCTTTTTTCATTACTCCTGTTTCATCTTTTCTGTTTCTTATTAGCGATTTTCATTTTTTTTCCTTGGGATTCATAATTAAAAAGAGAACGATAACAGATGAAGGGAGAGCGAGAACAGATAAAGTGCTACAATCGTTTTGGATCAGAAAACTTGTCATGATAACTAAAATATCATTTGATTTGGAGATTCTGAAGATGATGGTACTTTTAGTTGCTACTTTTTTCGCTGTCTGCGTGTGTGTGGGGGGGGGGGGGGATGACAACGATATAACCAGTTACTATATGCATATAGCTTCTATGTATTTATGTGTGTGTGTGTGTGTGTGTGTAAACAGATGGGTACATAATGTGTGTGTATATATATAATATATATATATATATATATATATATATATATATATATATATATATATATATATATATATATATATATATATATATATTAACAAAACACTCGCACGAATGCACACATGCATACGTAGCCGCACATTTTTCATCATCTGCAGCAATGTTGAGAATCCTTTTTCTTTGGATACTTTTGCGTCTACAGTATTTCCTGTGTGTATATGCGTGTGTCAATTAGATTAATTCTCATGGCTGTGTTTACCTTGTCTGTTTTTTTCTCTCGAGTTTGCTAATTAATTTTCCGAGAACGATCATGCATATTGCAACCGAGTGCTATACTTGGAAACTGCCTAATATTTCTCGCATTAAAGGGAAGGTATTTAGTCGACTCAATTAAGGAGAGAGGGCGGCCAGGGATCGACAATGGCGCAAGGAAGAGAAAAGTCGGTTTGTCTAATAGTCATTTCCGAAATAACGTTTACCGTTTTCACGTTGGAGTTTTGCATGTTCTCCGTTTCCATTGTTTTATTGATGATTTAATCAACAGGGGCCTAGAATGTTTGATTATTAAGGAATTTTATTTAGATATTATTTGTAAGCCTTAATGAATGTCAAAATGTAAGCAGACAACCAATTATTTACAAGGGTTCTTGTGCTCTCGATATGTCAGGCTTGCCTATGCATTTATGTACATAGAGATCCGTGCGTCCACTTAACAGTATAGAGCGGGAATGCAGCGCATGCACGCATGGCCTTCAAGTAAGCGGTCAGTGGTGTAGAATCTGCCGCTCCGTTAAGTGAAGTCATGGCATTACAATACGTGCTCGCCGCAGGGCATCTTCGTGGGCCTTGCGGTGCCCAGCTGCTCAGGCAGTGGGATGGAATTTATTTTTCGTCTGTTCGTTTATTTTCATTATGTTTGGTGTTTTTTTTTGTGTGTGTGTTTCCTGTTGGTATTAATGGTGATGGTGACAATGTTTGCGGTGATGTGTATCTAAATGATCAGACTGAGAAGGCTTTCCTTCCCCGTTATTAACGTCGCCTTTCTTCCCCGCAGCAGCGAGGAGATCCGCCAGAGTCTGGACGTCCTGGACCGAGTGCTCTCCGAGTTCGACGACATCGAGACCGACACCAATGACGACTCTGTCGCGGCCGACGTCACCGACGCCCCCGAGCACGCCGACAAGTCCAGCGAGAACGACGACGCCGGAGGATCGCCTCCGCCCGTCGACAGAAGCCTCAAGCCCCGCCCACCTCCGGAGCTCCCCCGCAAGACCCGCCTGCCCCGCCCGGGCTCCGGAAGCTCGTCGCCGTCCAGCCATGAGTACCAGGAGATCAACTCCGACGTGGGCGTGTCCCACCGCGTCCCCGAGGCGCCCCCTGCACCGCCCGTTCCGCCCGCCCCACCCGTCCCGCCGGTCACGTCTCCCACGGGGCGCGGCGTGAGGCGCCAGATGTCCGAGGACCGCGCCAGGTCGCGCCGCCACGAGGAGGAGCTCCGGCGCCAGCCCCGCAGACAGAGGAGCGAGGACGCGCGCCTGCGCCACGACGACATCTCGTCCAGCTCCGGCGACCTCATGACCCTCGACGTCCGCGACATGAGCAAGCCGCGGCCGACGCGCGACTCCAGCCGGGGGCGCTCCCGGGAGCCGGCGCGGGAGGCGCGGGAGCCGGCGGCGAGGGACGCGAGGGAGGCGCGCCACCTGAGGAAGAGCCGCTCGGGCGAGGTGGAGGCCAGGAAGGTGGCCGAGCAGGCGCAGGAGCGGGGGCGGCGCCGGAGGTCCAGGTCGTCCGACCGGTGGCTGGACCACGCGGCGCACCCCGACCCCCTCATGGAGCAGCGGCTCATGGAGGCCAACATGATGGACCCCCGCATGCTCGACCCAAGGCTGATCGACCCCAGGATGATCGACCCGAGAATGATCGACCCCAGGATGATCGACCCCAGGTACATGGACGAGCCCTTCCCCATGGCGCAGGACCCCATCCGCTTCCCGCACCTCATGAGCTACCCGCCCATGACTCAGGCCGGGCCCCTCACGCCGGGCAACATGTCCCCGGGGGCCATCTCGCCCATCCCGCCAGGCCCGCCCATGGGGCCGCCCTTCCTGCCCATGGAGTACCCTCCGTACCCGATGTACCCGTACGACGTGGGCTACATCCCCGACCTGATGCTGCCGCCCCACCACCCGGCCTTCGCGGCGGACCACATCCCGCCCGAGTTCATGCGCCCCGAGTACCTTCCTCCCGACTACCCGCTCGACTTCCCGCTCGAGTACGGGCCCGCCCCCCACCCCGGCATGATGGGCGGGATGTGGGCCGGACCACGCCCGCGAGACGACTGGCCGCCGCCCACGCCACAGCAAGCACAGCAAATGATTCAGCGCGTCGTCAGGTGAGTCAAGATCTCTCTTTTCATGCCTGCCCTCCTCTTACCCCTCCCCACTCCCTCCCTTCTTCTCCCCCCCCACTCTCTCTCTCTCTCTCTCTCTCTCTCTCTCTCTCTCTCTCTCTCTCTCTCTCCTCCCTCCCTCCCTCCTCCCTCCCTCCCCCCTCCCTCCCCCTCCTCCCCTCCCCCTCCCTCCTCCCCCCTCCCTCCCTCCCTCCTCCCTCCCTCCCTCTTCTCGAGCAGCCTTGGCACACACTCAGCTAGATAGTTTGTCAGAAGTTCCCGAGTCTTTAAGAGCAAACGTTTATTTAATGGTTTCAATTTAACCTATATCACGCCCTTTTTGTAGCACGGAAGACGTCTCGAATTGCTCGATAGACAGGCGGGCCGAGAGAAGCCGCCTCGCAGAGGTCTTTGCGAGGCGGCAGATAGCGGCTTTTGTGCAGCGCAGGAGGGGCTAGGACTCCCGGAATAGATGGAGTGGGGATTGGGCGCTGGCTTAATCTGCGTGTTCATTCATGTGAACAACGTGGGTCTGACGCGTCGTCGTTCACGTGCGATTCGATGCACGAGGTCGAGAGGAAAGATGCCGAGGGAAAGAGATCGCGCGGCAGGAGGAAGAAGAGGCAAGAGAAACGGCCCGAGGCAAGCGGGCGAGGAAAAGCGAGGGCGCGCTCACCCCGCCCACCGCCTCACGGGAGCTTGCTTGCAGACGCCAGACACGTTGCGAGATACACAACCGCTGAACTTGAAATGGCTTGCCTGGGGCGATTGCCGGACGGTGCAGGACGGACGACTCTCGTTCGATCGGCTGACGAAGAAGGTGTGAGGAATCATGAATGACCACGTGACTCTTGCCACCTGACGCTCCCCTTGCCCTTTGACCCGAGCGGACTTGGCGTTGCATGCCGCGCCCTTCGCGTAGTGAGAGCGTCCGAAAGCCACTGGAAACGCCCTTACGTTGTAGCCACCGCCCCGCCATCGCCGTCCGACCCCGCTACTGCGACGGAAGCGCATATAGAAATAGATCTAAATCGCGTCACATTTTCCGAGGCACGCCGTTCCGTGTCCGCTCCGGGCGAGGGACGCGCTCGGCAGTCGGCGTCGAAGGAGAGGGAAGGGCAGGTGACGGGCCGCGCCGTCCGGGAGGGGCCGGAAGGAATGACGTTTTCACTCGCCGGAATTAGGAAAAGGGAAGGATTCAGTTTCCGCTCACGTTCTCCCGAAGTTTGGAAAAACAAAGATACCAAATGAAATAAAAAGTATATGAGACAGTTGCTCCATTCAAGCCCATTTCTAATATATAATCAAGTTTTTTGTCCCGCGAACGTGTCTGGCATGCGGCCATTTGTTCGTGTTAGTTTTCGACTGATGCAACTTTTAATTTGATAAAGCACACGTTGGACAGATACAAGCTAGGGCCCGCGATGCCTAAAAGACTCGTATACATACGGGATGTGGGTACAGTACACACACACACACACACACACACACACACACACACACACACACACACACACACACACACACAACACACACACACACACACACACACACACACACACACACACACACACACACACACACACACACACACACACACACACACACACACACACACACACACACACACAATCACACAATCACAATCACAATCACAATCACAAACACAATCACAATCACAATCACTCACACAAACAAACAGATATTTATTTATTTATTTATTTATATGTTAATGAACTAGAAATCGAGGTTGGTTCTCGTGTGTTCTCCCTCGCCCGTCTCGATAACTTTTCCTTATGTCTACGACGTACATTCAACCCAGCGTAGCTTTTTTATATATATTTATACAATTCCCCCCTACTGATTCAGCAGACGTCCTGGCGCGTCCGGCAAATATCCTCCCCCGGCTTGGCCTCCCAATAACAAAGGGTCGAAAAGGATCATTCATTTTTTCCGGGGAAAGGACAGCCGCGATGTTTATCAGCAGAGAGGCTGTGATAGAGTAGAGAAGTTCGGGTCGAAAAGTTTTATTAGATCGTGGAAAAATCTACATCTGCCGAGGACAAAGGAATCAGGTGGAGACGCAGGATGGGAGTCGCGATTGCATCAGGCTGGTGCAATATTGGTAGTGCCAGGAGCCGTGCCCTGAGTCATGCCTGTCGCCCCGCTCTCTCGCATATACTCTTTTTTTCTCCTTATTTACTTTCATATTCTTCTCCGTCAACTCTTTCTTCTCCCATATTTTCCCGTTAGCTCTCGCTTCTCTTCCTCTTTTTTAACCCTCATCTTCCTTTTCCTCCTTCCTGTATCCCCTCATCTTCCTTTTCTTCCTTCCTGTGTCCCTCTTCCCCTTTCCTCCCCTACAGGTCTTTCCTTTTCGGTGTTTATTTTCTCGTCCTTCTTTCCCTTTCTCCTCCTCTTCCCCATCCTTCTCTCCCTCTTCCCTTTACTCCCCACCCCTCATCCTTTCCATTTCTCCCCTCTTATCCTCTTCTTCCCCCTCGCCCAACTCTTTCCCTCTCCTCTCCCCTCGCCTCCCCTCATCTTTCCCCTCCCCTCCCCCCTCGCCTCCCTTTCCATCCCCCTCTCCCCCTCGCCTCCCTTTCCCTCCCCTCTCCCCCCCTCGCCTCCCTTTCCCTCCCCCCTCCCCCCCTCCTTTCCCTCCCCCTCTCCCCCTCGCCTCCCTTTTCCTCCCCCCTCTTCCCCCCTCGGCCTCCCTTTTTTCCCTCCCCCTCTCTTCCCCTCCTCCCTCTTTCCCCCCCCATCTCCCCATCTCCCCCCGCCCCGATGGCCCGAGATTCCAACTTTAATCATCGTAAAACAGTGTTGGACGGGGCTTTTCAACTTTTGACCCCCTCGCCCCCCCCTTGTCCCCCTCGCCCCCTCCGCCATTTAGAGGGTCGTTGACTGGCCGAACGCAATTGGGGGACACAAAACACAAGCGCGGGCAGAGCTCCCATACGCCCCCTCTCTCTTTCTCTCTCTCTTCGCTCTCTTCTCTTCTCTTCTCTCTTTCTTTCCCTTTTTCCTTCTCTCTTTCCTTCCTTCCTCCCTTCCTTAGTCCCTTCCTTCCTCCTTCTTCCTCTTTTCTTCCTTTCCTCTCTCCGTCTCTCTTTCTGTCCTTCTTTCCCTCTCTCTTCCTTTTTTCATTCTTTCCTCTTCCCTCTCTCCGACCTTCCCTACCACGTTCCCTTTCCCCCTCCACCCCCCCCCCCCTTTCCTTTTATATCTCTCCCTCAACCCATAACCCAAGGATAATTGTTAGTGTCAACACACACGGAACAACCCCCCCTCCCCCCCGCTCACACCCCCTCCCCCATGTCCCTAACCCCTAAGACATGTGTCCTTGATCACTAGGTCTTTGATGAAGGGAAATGGCGAGGTGTACATGCGTTAACCGGAATTATGCACGCAAGACCACAACTCGGGAGAGGGGGGTGGGTGGTACAGGTAGGGTTGGGGGGTACAGGTAGGGTAGTGGGGTGGGGTACAGTTAGGGTAGGGGTGGGGATACAGGTAGGGTAGGGGCGGGTGGGGGGTACAGGTAGGGTATGGGGATGGGGTGGGGTGTACAGTAGGGTAGGGGGGTGGGGGGTACAGTTAGGGTGAGGGAATGGGTGGGGTGGGGTGTAAGAACGGATATAGGAAGACGAAGAATAGGGATAAACAGCGATTTGATACGATTCCAAAAGAAAGGGAGGTAGAGATCTTTTTTCGGTCTTTTTTTCTTTCTTTCTTCTTTTGAAATTCTTCTTGGTTTTCACTTGCTGGTGTAACGAGTCCTCTTGCTTTCAGACCAGCTGTTGAAGCGATTACGATGCTCGGCTTTGCTAGTTTCTCTCACTTTCTGTCTTTTACTCTCTCTATTTATCTATCTGTCTGTCTTTCTAACATTTCTTTCTTTTCTCTGTTTCTCATTTTCTTCTCTGTCTTTATCTTTTCTATTGTTTTTCTCTCTGTCTTCTGTCTTTTCCCTCTCTCTCTCTGTCTTCTCTCCTCTCTCCCTCCCTCTTTCCTTTTTTCCCTCTCACTCTTCTCCCTGTCTCCCTCCCCCTCCCCTCATCCATCTATCTCAATCTCTCTATCTATTTATCATCCTATATCTCTCTCTTCCTCTGTCTATATATCTATGTATCTATCTGCCTTTGTCTCTTCTCTCCCCACTCTCTCCTCTCTCCCGTCCTTCCCTTCTCCTCTCTCCTCTCTCCTCCCCGCCCTTCATCCTCTCCATCTCCCTTTCTCTCTCCCTCTCGCTCAATCTCCTGCCTTTCTTGCGTGCGTGTTTGTGCGCCAGTTTCGACGTCTGGCTCAGCATCATATTGTCAGCGGAATTTTCTCTTTTCCTTTCTGAAGGACGACGTGGAGAGTCTTCCGTTTCTTTTTATTTCATTGTTGTTTTATGGGAGATCAGAACGATTTGCTATTTTTAGAATGTTAAGAGTATTATTTATTCCGCGTTTTAATCGCGTGAGTTAGGCCTAAAGTCTCGCCGTATTTTTGGTAACGGATTCCTAAATTCGGGGGGAAAAAGAGACACAAAAATCCGAGACGAGCGTACTGTACATTAGGCTCTTTTCATACGCCGGTATCATCTTAATTTTTGCGTCGTGCAATGAGGGAAGAACCGACATAAAATCTTATTTAATTTCCGGCCGCCCGCCCTTGCGAGCCCCGGGGGCGTACCTCGGAAGGATGCTGCTGCTCCTGTAATTAAGCTGATGTTGTACATCTCCGAGGCGGCTTGGGATGGACAGTCTCCGAGAACGTAGTTAGGTGGTTTTGAATACGCGTACATGTGTGTGTGTGTGTGTGTGTGTGTGTTGTGTGTGTGTGTCTGTGTGTTTGTGTGTGTGTGTGTGTATCTGTGTGTGTGTGTGTTTGTGTGTCTGTCGATGCATGCATACCTGAGTTGCTCAAGATGTTCGTGATCAGATATGAGTTATGATGATATTTCTCTTTCTTTCTTTCTTTTTCTTTCTTTCTTTCTTTCTTTCTTTCTTTCC